ACCGTCTTTATATGCGTATGAGGTTGTATATTGGTGTATCATTGGAGTGCACTGTATAGCTTACGAGGGGTGCAGCCTGCGCTGGTGAATTCCCAAGCGCACCTGTTTACCATGACTGCAGATATTTAGGCTCTGCAATGAAGGAGATCCATCGTAAAGCCAAAGCTGCTGTGCCAAAATGGCCATATAAAGGTACCTCGTGTTGTTATTCCCTATAGAATGAACCCATCTGGAGCCATAGACAGGCACGTGCACATGTTTTTTGTGTATACGTATGTGTGTGTGTGCATATGTATATTTGTGTGTGCCTATGTATGTATGTACACGTGTACGTCTCATGCTGCCATCTGTATGCATATCGCACGGATTGCTGCCCTGGCCTGTGCACTGAGCACCACACAGACCGTCTGAGTGCGTACGGCTGTACACAGTACATTGACTACTGTGTCTTGGCTGTTCAGTTTTATCTACTGTTTGTAGTAGCATATCCATTGTGTGTGTAGCATGCCTTCCCTAAACCCTAAACCCTAAAATCGCGTAAGACGCTTACCCTAAACCCTAAACCTTAAACCCCCTACTACCAATAGCAATAGAAGCACAAAATCATACAGGCTCAACAGCGCTGTGTGAAGCATCTATAGCTTAAAGCTACGTACGTGTGTATCGCATCCTTCCAACGAATCAGGATACTTCACGGCTACGTATGAATTCTCCGCTGTGTCTTGATGTAGTGCTTTATCCACCCAGGGAGTGTCAATATGAGCTTTACCCATTGCACACACTCACAGGTGATATGTGAGACCCTCGCATACCTCTATATCACAGTCGCCGAGGTAGCCAGATGGGGTCTACAGCCATATGACTCATACCCATGCGGACCACATACCACGGAAGCTCATGGTTACACAACTTAAACTCTTGGATATGCAACTTAATTTCATATGCATGTATACCACACGCATGCCATCTATACACAGGCGAAGGCGAAGGCTATGTATGCGTTCTCAATTACTCCGTTGCTGAAGAGTACGCGAGAGGAGCTGTTTGTTAAACCAGAGGGTACCAGTCCTTGTCCGTATGAAGCGGTTGCTCATGCAGCCGGCGGCAATGCGGGCCCTATGGATGGCATACAGGGAGAGAATAAGAGCTTCTTCTACGGTATGTGACGGTGGTTTGTCGATCTATCTATCTGTCTATCTATCTGTATATATGTATTTATGTATATATATATATATATATACGTATGTGCGTATGTATATATATATATTTGTATGTATGTGTAAATAATTTATGAATATAGTATATATGTATAGGTAAATGTATATGTATGTATACTTCTATATAGATATTACTTGCTTCTTTCACAATATGCTGTCTAGCATCCCTAGCTCATATCGACAATGTGTGGAGAAACGTATCTGTGTACGTTTATATATACACGTACTGTACTCTAACTACCTTATGGCAATCGTTTGTGTATTTCGCTTGTGTGTATCTCTTGTGCATACATGCAACTGACCTTATGAGCCCCTACGGACAGTGAGTACGAACTTCTGTGTCCGTTTGTGTTG